CCGTTTCTGATGGTCAGGTTCTTGTCCGTTCGGAGGTCAGTGGCTTAAAATCTGGTCTTGTTCCAGCTACCCTCCCAATGCGTAGTTTCTGGGGACACATGGTGGTTCCCCCTCTGTATCGAGAAGGTCGGCGGATGCTACGGATTTTGAGAAATGCACTTAACTGCGGGACCCCCCCATTGCAAAACGGGGTTGCATCTTCATTTCCGTCAAATCTGTTGCTCTTTAAGTCAGTTCCATCATGTAATCGGAGTCTGGGATTGCTTCATGGTTGCTTGTCTCTTTTGGAACTTGCAGACTCGAGGTGCATGTTGCTGTCAAAAATCCACCTCTATGGCCTCAGCAGGCCTCAAGCGCCCGCAAGTGAAGCCTCGAAGGCCTTTGTGAAAGTGGTCAGCGCAGGCGGCTCCAAATGTGGGGTCGAATAGTCTGAGCAATTTTAGCTTCGCTTGAGTGGCCCCCCTCTGATCGATAAAGAGGGCTGAGCCTGCAACCCAAGCGAGACGTCCGCAAGTGGGAAAAGCAAGCGAAGGGTGCCTCGGTATGAGCCCGGATATGTAAACATTCGCGGCGAACTCGGCACGTCTTGCAGGAATGATTCCATTCTCGAAGCCCACCATCAGTCGGTCCGCGATAGCAATCTGTGGGCGGCCAACCAAGTCCGCCGGGACCTTGCGTATGACTCGAACGTCAATGTGCCGGCCGTCAGCGGTGGGGGTGACGTTGGTGAGCTGCAGAAGTGGAGCGGCCGTAGGGTCGTCAGCTAATGTCCGGATGAGATAAATGACTAGCTGTACTGGCAGTAACCGCAGTGCAGCAGCGGGGTCCCCTGTGTCGCTTCACCACTCGTGCTGCCTCCCCCAGTGTTGCGCCGCTGGCTGGAGCTGGCGCCGCGCCGGCTGTTTGACGGTGCTGAGTCTGGCTTGGAGGCGGGTCTCGCTTGGGAGCCAAGGACATCTGCATCAGATTGCCGTCTCTGACTGGAAACTTCCGCCCAGATAGGGCGCGGGGGAGCGACCCCTTGAGGCCGGCAAGCTCATCGAGGAACAGCCACCACCAGATCTCAGGGCGAGGCAGCGTTTCGTGTCGTCGCAGACACCACCAGAGCTCTGAAACGGTCATGTTGCGCCAAAGAGGATCAGGACTGCGGAGTTACGCAGTCCATGGTGAGCAGAGCGGAACGCACTGTTTTCGCCTTTTGGGAAGGCATGCCACTCCCTTGTGCTCACGTAGCCGGTGGAGTCTGGGCGGTGTAGTAAACTCTAGCAGTGCGAAGACCGGAAGGTCGGTGTCGATAACCGGGTAGAACGGGCGAGCCGTGATGGATTGACCATCTGGTCCGCTGTGCTCAAAGTCTACACTCCGTAGTAGGAGCTGGACCGGGAAACCGTCCAGACCGCTATGTGCAGCAATGGCTGTAGCATCGCAAAGCGGCGGAACACGGTTCACGGACCATTGTTCATAGAACTCCTGCGCCGTCGGGGGGGCGTTGGAGCTCCAGATTGGCAAGGCCATAGGTGCGGTACAGTGCCTTCCATTTGACATGGGTGTGATGGAGGGTGGCATGGAGCTCCAGCACTGCAGCCACGATGTCCCACCAGTGGGAGGGGGAGGCGATGATCAATGGGCTTGTGGGCCGCGTGCTCTCTGCTGTGAGGCGCTGGTGGGCGTCCTCCCCCGTCAGAGTAAAGCGTTCCGCCCGGTCGATAATGCAGATGTCCACGGCTCTGGTGGTGCCAGCGCACACAGTGGTGGTGAAAAGATCCACGAAGGCATCTAGTTCATTGTGATGTTCATAAAAGAAGGTGAAGAGGGATGCGGCCTGTTCTTCAGGAATTGCCCCGCGGGAGGAAGCTCTGGTAGCCATTCCCCAATGAACTCCTCGAAGAAGGTGCCCTCAGCTACGATCTTGCGCGTTACCAGTGTCGGCCTTGGCGGAACGAGCATTGCTAAGGCCTTGGCCATGCTTGAGGGAGTTGAAAACCCTAGTAGTCGGAACGACAGTGATTTTTCGTCCGGCTTGGACAGCAAACTCCAATGGTGATAAGGCAGAAAGAGACATCAGAGACCTTGTGCATAACGATGGATTGCGGGTATCTGACGGGTCAGCTAGCAGCCTGGTAGAGGCCACCAGGGCCAAGTTTAGACAGACTCTATTGATGGAGATGAAGCCTTCAGCTTGCATTGCGGTGTTGGCCGGCGCAAGGATTGCGCCGACTGCCGACAGACGGTTGAGATAGCACAGGATCGCTTCACTGTGGGATGAAGACTGGTGGAGGAAATCAACCGCAATGGCCGCTGGCGTGAGGCAAGGGTGAGAGCACACTCGATCGCCGACCTTGGTGATGGAATAAAAGATGAAGTATTTCAGCCCTTGTCGTGTCACCCGGCATCCGTGGAGGTCCTGAAGATCCGAGTCAAGGCCAACGTCCCACCTTCCTCTCAACTCCAAAGAGGCATTCCGACAGTCCGCGACAGCCCGTTGGAGGCGGGAAAGGTGAAGTTCAAGAACGCACGTGAGCTGCCTTATCGCCAAGCCTGTTGGCATTAGGGGGTCGCTCAGCTGGCCTCGCAGCCGGTTGCGCCGGGTCGTCGCCGCGGCACTGCGTGGGCAGTCTACTCCGCAGGGCACGCTTCACACCGTCCGGTGGTCCAGCCTGGAACACCGGCACAATGGCCTGCCCGGCGCTGAGCCACCGCCAGGTACCACCCTCACAGTCTCGAAAGTGACCACTGCAGCAGAATGGCATGTCTTTAGGCGAACCTCTTTGCAAATACATGTGATTGCCAACACGAGTCCAAGTCTTGTTGTGCCATGAAACTTGAGTAGCAACACAGCGATCAAACATCACGCCTCAAGTCAGACACAGAGGGCACATGTTTCTGCAGGTCGCTAAGACTTCGTGCTGAACGGCCAACACCGGAAGCTTGTGCGGCCTGTGCGCGCAGCTGGCTCTTTTGCCTCCTTTTGCACCTCCGTTTTTCACCGCTGTTTTCTGTTTCTTTGTCGGGACCGATGCTAGAGGCCCGCCCACGCGAAAAAAAAAAAACCATGGCGATGGAAGGCTTGCATCGATTGACGACGTTGCTGCACATAGGACACGTACTGAATGGTGCGCATTGGCTAGCTTGGCGACGAAGAAGATGTAAGTATGTAAGGATGTAAGGATGTAAGGATGCAAGGATGTAAGGATGTAAGGATGTAAGGATGTAAGGATGTAAGGATGTAAAGATGTAAGGATGTAAGGATGTAAGGATGTAAGGATGTACTGATGTAAGTATGTAAGTAGGAAAGTGGGGCTGTGTAAGCATGTAAGCATGTAAGCATGCAAGCATGTAAGTATGCAAGTATGCAAGTATGTAGGTATGTAAGTATGTAAGTATGTAAGTATGTCAGTATGTACGTATGTAAGTATGTAAGTATGCTAGCATGAAAGTATGCAACCATGTAACTATGTAAATATTTAAGTATGTAACTATGCAAGTATTTAAGTATGCAAAAATGCAGGTAGGTAAGTATGTATGTAGGTAGGTCTGTAGGTATGTATGTATGTATGTATGTATGTTTTCCGTCTGTTTGTCACGGTGTTTGTTTGTTTGTTTGTCTGTTTGTCTGTTTGTCTGTCAGTTAGACAGTCAATTTGTCACTCAATTTGTCTGTATGTATGTATGTATGTATGTATGTGCACTGTACACTTATATATAGTATCTGTAGAGATGGAGTCGGTGTGGTGGGTTTGGCCAGTTTAGGGGTTAAGGCTTGTGGTTCAAGGTTTCGGGTTTTAAGCATAAGGGTATGAAGGTTTCACCGCGGGGGGGTTTCGGGATTGGACATTCTAAGGTTTACGGTTTACGACTGGCAGGAGCCGGCAATTCTGCAAGGCCGTTGTGCAATGCTCGCTTGCGCTGGTGGTGCACCGTAGCTGCTTCACTGGGAGGGCCCCTTTCTCACTTACGGGAGCGTTCGTGCTGCACTGATGTTTTTCTGTGACGCCTGTTTGTGTCAGCCCGCTGACCATTCATCGCATGCAGCTGCGCATCATGCGCATGCGTTTCGCTCCGCACCGAAGCTGCTTCACATTCGGAGGGAGCGTTAATTTGGCTTTGCGGCAATCCATGTGGCATAATAAATTTTCCCGCCGTTGTTTGTGTTGAATGCTTGCGACAATTAGTTTTCGGACAGCGATTCGCCCCCAAGTCGCATAGCACAATTGGGTTCTTGCGTCGCGGCACTTCCTTGGAACAAGCTTAGTTTCATTGATCGTTTTCATCGAACGAGAAGAGACATGTGTTTCCGGAAAGCAATGCGGTGGAGCGGTGGTTTCGTCGATGACAATGCTTCTCGTGCATGGGTTCTAAATAATCATGGCATCACAGCCATTGTTGTGTCAAGCTGCTTTTCATGACAGCACCATGGACCCGGTCTGGTTCAACCAACAGCTGCTATAGTAGTTTTCCGCACAAATGCAGGAATCCGTATATGCTCGGATGATGCTTCAATTGAAAATGTCCATTTTCCCATCACCAAAATCGCACGGTGAGCACAAATTTGCCGAGGAAGCCTTGGCTGTAGCGTGACGGCTTCGTGGCTGCTCCAGTTTCAAAACAGGCATGGAATCAGGGCTGCATGATGGTCGAGGAAGGTTATGTCTGATGTCATAACTTATGTTATACTGTTGTTGCAGCCCACATGTGATGGTGTGGTGCGACGTTCTTTCTTGGTTCTTATTAAACATCTTGACCTCAGTCTCTTTTGCTATTCAGGCGCTGTTGTACGATTGAGTTCGTCAGTCTTCATGAACCGCAGTTTGATTCGGCTCGATCACCCGTAGAGACCCTGCGTTTCGCACTGAGACCCATACATCAACTTGCGACTGTCTTATCTTCCAGCTGTTAAAGGTGTAAATGCATTGCATTGCAAGCACGTGACTGTAAATAGCTGTACCATCCGTTGGAAGCTAGACGGGACAGCGTCTCTCAAGTACTGCATGAGCAAGTGAATGGCTTCTTCCGATGATGATGGTGACCTCGATGACGACCTGGATGCGGATGAGTCGTACCAGGCCGAATGGACATGCGGATGTCCAGTTTCGTCGAGCTCAATCAGTCGCGATGTGAGGCCATCCGAATTCCTTTGGGGCATCCGCCGGTGGCAAGCCTCCTTACTTGCACCGTGAAACTTCCGTATGAACTGTGGAGGTGTTGTCCTTGACAGGTTTTCGGGTTGCCCGGCAGCGACCAGCTTCTGCAGAAGGTGCACACTTGTGGCAGTGAGCCTTCGGTGCATTGTCGCGTTGGAGAATGTTCCCAGGTTATTTCTCATTTGCAGTGGCGATCAGGGTGCCTTGGCTGTCAGCGATTGTTTGGGTATTGGCAGTGGGCTGTGCATTGATTGTAGGGAGTGCCACTTTGCCATGTTCGACAACGGCGAGATTGGGCCGAAAGTCTTACAGACGGAGCACGGCTCAGCTTTTCTTTTCGCGAGAGCTTCCTTCAGGGTCCTTCCCAACCTAGGTGACCAATCACGATGTCTTCGTGATCATCGTCCGTAACGATGCTGCATCCGAGGTTGCATCCCCAGATGTGGGCATTGACTCAAGGAAGCCCTGAGATCGCCAAAGGTGAACTTTTCATTGGTGAGATTGCTCCTTCTGGTGGACGCCCTCAGGGGCGAGGTGACTTTCTCAACTGTCACGCAACTTTCTTGAAGCTTCGTCTGTTGCAATTTTTTGTCCTGAGTCCCCGCACCGACTAACGGTCGTGATGCCCTGCTTGGAGTACGCTCGGCAGGCGCCGGGCAGGGCCTCTTTTCCCTGCCATACACAGACAAGTCTTAGACTTGGGCAACTTTGCGAGTGCAGGATCGGAAACTCATGGCCGGCGAGGCGCCTCTTCCGGGTTTCCTCGCCTTAGATCCCTCCAAGAGATTCGCGGCAGGCCATTGCCCCCAAGCTCATGTTCCGATGCATCAAGGCTCCTCTCTTCGAAGGTGTTCCGATTTTGGAAAGCCATGCAAAAGAACTTTGCCAGACTGCGGGAGCAGAACGATTCCTGACGGTGGACTTGCACAATCAGGTCTCTCGTCGAGTTTTTCCGGAGTCGCGAGTCATGGTGCAGAGACCATGCAGTGCAGGCGGAAGCTGCATTTAGCCCACCTGGCATGGTGCTCGACGAGCTGAGCTCCGACAGGCTTCCGGAGATCAGGAAATCTAGAATGCTGCTTGCGTCCTTTGGACACCGCTGCTTCAGGTATCTTGCAGACTTCATCCGACAGAACGTGCCAGGTTTCGATGAGGTGGTGATGGGTTGCAGCTTGCCTGTCCTAGTTTCGCTCGATGCGCACAGGAGCACTCTCTCGTGTGTGCCACCAACGGGGGAGGCATGAAGGCTCGGGGCAAGATTGGGAAGAACTCAGCATGACTTGACAAATCCGTGGTGTGTCAAACTGTCGCTTGGACTGGGCCCTAGCAGAGTGCCTTGCAGTTCACGCGGCGGATGGCAGACATACTGCGTGTGGGCTTCATCATGGCGGATCGCTTCAGACAGAAGGCAGTCTGTTGCTGGTCGTCCCAATCACCCTTCATGCCTCGCTCGAAGCCCGTGCAGAAGGTTCCTAGGACGGTCGGAATCTCTTTGGGGGCACATGCTTACCTGCCTGCCATCTCCGCCTGATCTTCCGGGAACCTTTCGGCTTAAGAACTCGCACTCATCCCTTTCGTGTGATGTTGCATGCAGAAGCCAGCCTGACCAGGGCTTCTTACGAGACTTTAACGGAATCCTGAATGCTGAGCTTCATTGCACCCCGACTCCAGTTTGCAAGCGAGGATCTTGTAAGCCCGCATGAAGGATGCTGCTTCGTGGGCAGTACGTGCATGCCTTTCTGCACCGGGCAGCTGCTGCTCATTCTCCTAGCACGCTCAAGCTTGGTGCGGGCCGATCTTGACTACGCAGCTAGCCTTACTTGGGATTTTCTGCTTAGTCCGGATGTTCTGCTCGGTTCTAAAGTAGAGCAGTATGAGTACGTCAGTTCGATTACACGTGAGATCCGGCCATGTGTGAGGTGAGCTACAACTACGAGTTTGCCGCGGGTGATCAGACATTCCCAACACTCATTCAAAGTGTTCCTGGCAACCTTACGGAAGGAGTGGATCCCTACCTGGGCTTGCAGTTCGTGTTCTCAGAAGTCATCGTGGCGGGAGCAGGTCTTGTGGAGCTCCTGGCTCTTGGAGATGTGCGTGTGCTTAGCTTTGCGGATGGGCAGGTGACGATGATAACGTTAGGTGCACATGGCAATCGATCCATCGCTGTAACTCCAGCGCTTGCCTTGCGGCCAGATCTAGAGTACAACATGCGACTGCGCACCGACGTTGTTCGAGATCTTGCAGGGAACCCACTGCAGTACTGTAACATTCTATTTCGGACAGGTGGATCGCCGGAGAACTTTGTAGTCTTCGCCCCGTACATACAAGAACCAATGGCGCCACTTGTTGTTTCTTTCCGCACGAGTCAGCATGGACTGTATGGGTCTACAGAGGACTTGTACCGGCTGGAGCTGTATGTCGAAAACAGCACACTTTTGGATCCACCTTCGCGAGCTCTGGAGGGGTGCAGTATTGTTTTGGAGATCTCCGAGACTTTTCCCGCATTGCAAGAGTGTCGATTTGATGGAGGTCGCTTCGTCCTTTCGCTTCAGTCGCCGCTACAGTCAAGCACGGAGTACACATTCGTGTTACAGTGGCCAATCTCATCCGGTGGATCGGATGAGCGCCTGGTGACTTGGAACATGGTGACGGCTCGTACATATGCAGGGGATTGGATTGAAGTACAGCAGCTCATACCATGGCGGCATCGGTTTGCTGATCATCTCCAACTTGTTCTGCCCGGCTCCGATGTTTCCGTGCTTTCTCTTGAGGTTGCACCGGCTGTCGAGGCCTTCGCTAACTCCTCCGACGGCCAGGTTTCAGGCCCTGAGACCCTTCGGGAGTACGACTTCAGCATCCAATTCGGTGGGCAGGGCATGTTGGCAGGCTCCCGCCTGCGGATCATTGGCTCTCCGCTCATCGGATGGAGCACCGAGGCCTCCCGACCCGTGAATACGAGCATGCTGACCTCCTTGCTGCAGATGCCATGGAACACACGCTCCGGGCCATGGAGACAGACCCGAGGCTGTGGCCACTTTTTCCCTGGCGATTTCCCTGCCCAGACAGCTTGTGAACTCCTCGAGTACAATGTAGGGGGACCGACATATGGTATGGAATTGAGGCTTCCTAGCTCGGCGGCGACGCTTCTGCCGCAAAGGCCGTACACATTCTCGCTGTCAGTACCTGGCATCAAGCAGCCGCTGGCAGCGGCTGTGCGCTGGGAAACGATTCTGTCACAGAGCGTGGGTGGGACGTTTCAGCACAGCCCGGTGGCAGCCAGCGGCTCCGTGATGCTATCCAACACTACAGAGGGGATGTCGCTGGAGGTCCTTTCAAGCACATACAAGTATCCAGCACCGATGGGCAGCATCCTGAGCCGTGTGGAAATCGAGCTGAAGCTGGGTGTCTTTGCACCACCAGGTCCAGGCTCTGTGATCCTGGAGCTGCTTGAACCCGCAGAGGCTCGGATGGAGACCTGTGAGCCAATCGCAGGCATTGCAAGTCTTGGGGAGAAACCCCCAGCTATGTCACTGGACGCTACAACTAGTCGTGCAAGCTGGCAAATGGAATCCGATGCCAGCCACCGCAACTTCGTTATTTACCCGAGAGTCGCATACCGGACTGCTTGCTTGGTTTACAATGGCCCAAGCCCTTTGATGTACAGCACGTGGAGACTTGCTGTGGAGGTTCTGGTCGGAAGTTCTGCCTTGACCTTTGACACGCTCACCACTTCGTCCAAGTATTTTGTGGTTCCTGCCTTTGCATCTGCACAGGTCCTTCCAACTCATCCTGTTCTGGGAAGGTTTCAGGTCCTTCTCATCCGAGCTGCCATGCCCGAGAGAGACGGCTTCTCACTGACGCATTGGACAAGCTCTGCCCATCGACTGCAGCTCCTTGCGCCCAGTGGCTTCGCATTTCCAGATGGGCCTTGTCCAGGTTTCTGGCCACTGAGCTCTTTGCCACCTGTCCCTCGAACCTCGTGTGTTGCAGCTGCACCAAAGCCTCTGGCAGTTCATGTTCAGATGGACTCAAGGGATGTGGGCTTTGAGCCGGGTGAAAGCTATGCCTTCCAAGTTTCGGTTGAGAACCCTCCGGAGAGCTTTTGGTCCACTGCATCTGCAGAGGAGCTCCACTTGCACACAAGCGGTTGGTCATTGACGCTGATCGAGGATCATGGCATGCCAGTTGCATTGATGGAGAATATTCCCTTGGTGCAAAGCTCCGTGACAACTGCACTGAGACCGGGTGTTCCTGCTTCCATCTATGACAGTTCCTTCCGGCTGTACAAGACGCAGATTTCTGTTTTGGCCATCTTCGCCCAGGACCAAAGGGCGGGCCAAGTTACCAGGGTGCAGGTGGATTTCATGCTGCAGACCCCTCTTCGCACGGGGGACTCTCTTGTAGTGACAGCGCCCTCTCTTTTCAGCTGGGTCATGCCTGCTCGGCTATATGCGCCCCTGACGACCAGCATCTTGCAGAGGTTCCCAACTATCGAGCCAGAGATCGACGGGGCTTCGCCCTGGATCTTACGGGTGGACATTCAAGGCACCGCACGATCCGAAGTAAGCTACGCCATTGCGGCGGATGTGATGAATCCTTCTTCGATTCTTTGGGAGGCGGTCGATGCCACCTTCAACTATTGGCAACTCGAAAGCCTCTACAGATATCTCCCGTTCACATCTTTCGAGAGCCGCCGGGACGTGGGCGTACGACGCGGGTACGATGTGATTGGGACTTTGCAGTACTGCGCGGCAGTGCCGACGAGCAGGTTGCGTGGCCTCGAAAGCTGGGTGTCCTTGAGCTTGCAACTTGCTGAGCCGCTGGGTGTTCAATCATGGCGGGAGCCGGAATTGCCTTCGATTGTGCGAGTCCTGCTCCCTCAGGGCTTTTCTCTTTCTGCTTCGTCTGCTGCAGGTGAGAACAACTGCTCGAGCGTCCTTGAGACAACTGTTGATCCAGGGAACCCGAGGCTTCCGGGCCTGCAATTTCCTCGCGAGTACTCCTCCCTGCCCGATGTAGACAGCCTCCGGTGCATCACCAACGTACAGAGAACCGAGCTGACGCTGTCGTTTTCCGACCTCTCGGACGTTGCCGGGCTGCGTTTGCTGCCTCACGTGGTTTATGCTTTCCGGTTGCGGGTGCAGTCGCCGAGATTTGATCAGATCCGCAGTCAGTTCTGGTCCGTGGAGACTGTGACGGGACAAGGGGAGCTCCGACAGCAATGCTCCGTCAGTGCTTGGGAGTTCTCCGACCCTCTGGTGGGTGTGTCGACTGTGACTGGTCTGCCGATGGCGCCGACATTGGTAGCGACTTTCAGCTTGCGACTCTTGCTGCAAGGATCCGCTCTGAGCGGCTCGTCTACCATCTCCTTTGAGCTGCAGGCGCCGAGCGGCTTCGTCTTTTTCCCCGACTGCGCTGCAAAATGGCCTCCGATACAGCCAGAAACATCTTGGCAACTCACAGGCTGTATAGGTAGTGGAGCTGTCGCAAGGGTGGACGTGCTGCGGCTTGCATTTGGTGAGGACATGGAGATTGGCGTGACAGTAAGGATGCCAGCTTGGAAGGATGATGGGCAGATCCAGTTCTGGTCGATACGGAGTATGGTGCAGGGTGTTCTTTTTGAAGCCACCGCATTGATGGGCCCATCTCTAACCGAGATTGGAGACGTTCGGCTTCAGCCATTATCCAGCATTTTATTCCGAGCAGAGGCAGTCGTCCAGTCTGCAGTCCTGAGTTTCGTGCCTGCCACGGAGCTACTGGCAGGTGCCGTTCTGGAAGTTGCTCTCCCGGGCCAGGATGCATTCGTCTTCGTGCCCGAGGCACCTTGCCTGTCTCTCGTCGAGGATCCGCAATCATTACTCCCGCAAGTCTCCGAAGTTCAAGCTGGCCAGTTCGCTCAGAGCTGTGATCTGGCTGCGACTTGCGCTTGGCCCCCGCTGTTCGACTGCTGGAAGCAAACTTCTTCCTCCTTACTTCGGATCCAAATCGCAGAGGGTTTGGTTCCAGGTGAGCGCTACTGCATTGGTATCCATGCCAGCGTGCCTGAAGGCAGATCTGTGCCAGCATTCCCCCTGCGCCTTCAGTTGCTTGACGAGTCTGGAGCTGTTCTCGAGGTTGCCCCTCTCGTGGGGCAAAGCCGTCGAGGTCTTGGTGTGGCCCCGGTGGTGCAGACGTTGGCCCATCTCTCCCTGTGCTATCCCGGCCGACTCCCAAGCACAGAGCCCGTGGACGTTACACTGAGCTTCGCTCTGAGTTCCTTGATCTTGGCCTCCACGGATCAGAGGCTGAGCGCGCGTTTCTGCCTGTTGGGCCTCGACCTTCCTTCCAATGCTTCGCTCACCTGCACAGTATTGGAGCCGTCGACCGCAAGGGTGACGTGCAGACTGCTGAGCGGATGTGGGACTTGCGTCTCGCTGGACAGCAACGACTTGTGGACGCCTTTTGAGCGGGTCATCATGTCATTCCCAGCTGTGTTGTCCGCCGGGGCTTTCCCGAGTGTGGATATGGAGTTGTTGACTTCCTCGACGGGTCCATCAAGCGTGCTCCAAGGAAAGAGCTACATGACCGGCTTGCCCATCCTGCCGATTTTGCCCTTGACGATTGTTGCACCGGTAGCACCGACGCTGGATACCGTTATTTCGGTGTACTTGGAGATGGATTGGCAAGTGATTGCCACTGGACCCGTGAGTTTGCTTCTGAGCCCGGAAGGTGGAGAGAGTCCTGCCATACTGGACGTCTCCCTGCCCTTCGGTCTGACGGCATTCGCAGGGACTGCGTGCAGCCCTGTCCAGTGTCAGCAAGCGCCGCCTGATGAGGCTGCGCCAGAGCCTGTCTTGCGCTTCTTGCTCCAGAGACCTGTCGGTTCGACACGCCGGCTCCGCCGATTGCAGTCGGCTGCTGTGTCGATTCAAGACTTGCCTGGCCAGCTGCAGGTTCATCTTTTCGCGACGGCACCCGTGTCAGCACAGAATGACTGGCGGTTTGTACTGAGAACGGAGACTCTCAAAGCACTCGGAGCCATTGCATTGCCTGGCTTTGCAGTCGTTTATCCGGTGTCCTTGGCTGTTCAGACTTCTTCCCAACGCGCTGGGAGCTTGTTTTCCAGATTTGTTCTTGAATTCAAGCTGTCATCTTCACTGCCAGCTGGCTCTTTCCTGCATATCCGTACTCCCAGCGGTATTGTCTCAGAGCCAGACAAGGTGGAGCCCGAGTATTTGTTTGAGGTCGCATCCTTACCACCGAGCTGGCTTGACATGACAAGCGCACTTGTGTTCAGAGCATCGCAGAGATTGGCAGCCAACGTGGCATACACCGTAAATGTGCCTATGATCAACCCTATATTGATGCCATCTTCGAACGAGTGGCTGGTCCAAGTTCTCGAGTCCGATTTCGCTGAAACTGGACTCCCAAACTCAATCGGCAGGAACGAAGGGTTTGAAGTGTTTGGGGAGTTCGAGCTCTTTGGCATTAGCGTGCAATCTGCAGTTCCTCTTGTGTCTGCACCAGCACTCGTCCAGTTCAAGTTGAGAACGCCATTTCCTCCGACGGAGGAGTTGTCAAAACCTTTTCAACTACGGATCACCAACATTGGTGTTGCTGGGAATGCAGAGGTATTTGATCCAGCAAATTGTGTTCTGGATACGATACGGTCGTCCAGAAGCTTGCCTGCACAGCCAGCTGAGGCACTGCTGCTGACCCCTTACGATTGTCTGGTGTCCGCCAACGGTTTGGTGGCTGACTTGATGTTCGACCAGCAAGTTCTCGCCAAGCAGGACTACTACTTTTGGATCTGGATGCAAAACCCAGATCAGACGAGCTGGTTGCAGACCTTTGCTGCAAGCACCATTGCTGGAGATCAGATCGTGCATCAGACCTCCTTCTTTTCCTCGGCCCTCCTGACACTTCGCGGGTGGATCAAACCCGGATCCCATGCTGGAGGGGCCTCGCACCGCTCTGTCGTCAGCATCTATGCTGGTCGCAGCCTTCGGGGCCAACGTGGCAGCATCGAAGTGCAGCTTCCGCCGGGCTTTGTCGCCTCTTGCCATGACTTCAGGCCCCGCGGCGCACTGCCGGCCACTGCCAGGTGCCGAAGCCTTGAGTCAAGAGTGCAGGTCTACTGGAGATCTTTGTTTGGCCGCTCAGAACTGATCCCGCCTTATGAGTTCGCATTTGGGCTCACGAACCCAGCTGTTGGACTACCAGGAGACTGGACGGTCACCATCTTCCAGGGCGAGAACCAAGATTTCGCTGTAGATGCTTCTGGAAGCGAAGGCATCGCTGCCTTCGACGTCTGCGAGCCCATGGCGAATGTAAGCCTGAGAAGGGAGGATGCCTCTGTCATATCCTTGGTGCTGTCTGTGGGAGTGGATGTACCTGCATCCTTTGATCTGCTGCTCAGAATCGAGCTGCGTTCGTCGCTGACTGCTCAAGCTTACCTGCAGTGCCCAGAGACGTCACTGTGGCAACCCCGCGAGAATCTGCAGAACCACATCAGTGCCACCGCACAGGGTTTGCCACGCTTCACGACATGTGTTGAGGAGCCCGGAAACAGTGAAAGAGAGGAGTACACGAGAAGTGCGCACCAGTACAGCTCTGCCGTCTTGTTTCTCTTACCCTTTGCCCGCTTCTACGGCGTCCAAGCCGAGCCACTGGCTCTGGAAGTTCGGATGCGGCGAGAGGCCGAAGGCCACCCCAGAGTGGTCCCACGCCCTGTTCCTTTAGGCCCCAGACCCAGGCCCCCTTCCCCGCCTAGAGTCGGTGTGACTTTGGGAGGCTTTGCGGTGCTGGAGCCCTCCTCGGTGGAAGCAGCCTCGGAGAGGGTGAATGTCAACTTAGAGGCTGGTGGACGCAGAGTTCGCTGCGGATCTCTTCCCCTAGGCGGGTGCTCTCCTGGGGGCAGTGTAAGTGTCAGCCGAGCCAATTTCTAGAAGGTAGTTTGACGCTGTGGCCTTCGCATGAAATGACTTCCACGCAGGCTCGATCCCCAGCACGGAAGCTGCAGGCTCGGATCTTACTACTTGAAGGTGCGCAGGAGGATTCGGCACGATGCATGCGTGGACTCAGGAAACTTCAGCGACGGTGGTCCGAGTCTCAGTTGCCCGTGGCACAGAGACTTCAAAGCTTTCGCCCCTGACTTTTTGGAAGAACCCACGCCAGGTGATCCGGCGGTCCCAGCTCAAGGCATTGAGCCCCCTGAAGCCGACATTGCAGGGGGTGCATCGACAGGCTGAAGGTCACAGACTACAACATGCTGCTGAACCGTGGGCTGATGGCCAAAGCGTGACACGACGGACAACTCTGTTTCGGAGAGAAGTGCTCCACCATCGTTTCGGCTTGGACGTCCCGTGCATGGACGCGTGTGCGACTGTCAAGAGCTCTGGAAGCATGGTGCGGCAATGGACGGAAGTGGCTGCGCATACTCGGTTCAACAAGCCTCGCGAGCTTGCTGCGCATCAAGACAATCCTGCGAGGGGCCGTTGGCGCTCGATGCTCCATGGTGATATTGAGCCTGTGTGACTGAAGATGAAGATGTTGGTGCGGAAGTCTGCAGCGACGAAACCTCCAGCAAGTTTCACCCACAACCAGAGGCCAAAGGGCCCAGGTTCAGACAAGTTGGAACTTCCGTGAAAGCTCGAGGGCGGGGTCTGGCCAAATTGCGTCGTCTTCTCGACTCTGCCAGGCCGGTGGACGCGGCGAGGTCAAAATCATGTTCGACGCGGAGGCCTGGTACCTAACAGAGCCGGGGAGCCAATCGGAGGTACAGGGTGTCAGATAAACATAGACACAAGACACGTCACTTCGGTTCTGATCGAGGTTGATAGCGGTACGGCGGGTACGGTCTCTTTCTCCGCGAAAGATATAGCATTGCGACTGTGCCGGTTCAGAGCGTTCAGAGCATGGAGTCCAAACCGGGACTCGTAGTTCACGACCGGGAAGAAACCAGCTGGGGCGGTGTGGGATGGGATGGAACATGTCTCCACTCCTTTCGTTGGCAGTGTCCTTGAGCCGCCTTCTTCAAGCTTCACAGATGCAAAGCATCAACGATGTCATCATCATCGATGACATGTGCTGCCCTGAAAAGTCTGAGCAGATGTCGTGCTCGTAGTGATCCGCGTCTGGCCACGCGGGGCAGGTTCGACACGTGTGGGAACCTCGTGGAGGCCAGCATGGATGTGCGCCTCCTCCTTGGAGTTATGTCTGCTGTCTGCAAGGTCAGCCGAGCTCTTCACGCACTGCTTCCTTCAGCTCGACTCTATGGCGTCGCTCCACACGGCTCGGCACGTCAACATGGGAAAGGGCAACGATGTGTGATGCTGACTTGTCGGATGCTCATTGAAGGCTACTTCTCCGGAGACACCGCTGACAAGGTTTGTTCTCTTGAGAGAGTCGGTCTCATGTCTGCTATTCCATTGTGTTCAGGTGAAACAGCTCGTGGAGGAGTGTAACTTGCAGTGGGTTGCGGTTCGGACCTTAGTACCAGACCTGCCTGCCGTCTACTCGCGAGAGCCATGTTGTGTTAAGGTCACCAACAGCGTAGATCAAACTGCAGCGCTTCAGAGGTTTGCAGCCGCAGGCAGGGAAAGTCATGATCTTTCCCGAACCTGGGGTTCAATCCTTTCTGTGGTTTCCAGGCTTGGAAGAGAAGATCAAAGTCATCGAGATCTCCAAGTTATTGGCAGGCCCATCATTGAGCACAGGGTCTTCATGCTGTGCAACCTCCTACATCGCGTAGAATCAGTCAAGGTGTAGGCCGGCGACATTGCAGCCGCAGGGCTTGAGCTCTTTGCTGGAGGTCTTTGTAGTGTGCACGTTGACCTAGCTGTTCTCCCTTCATCGAACTGAGGGTCCCACTGAAGGTACTTACATTGTAGTACCACCATTAGCCCCCCCACACTTCCCTCAGACTCAGAAGTAACAATCATAATGGGCATGCAGCTGCGCATATCTCGAGCCATGCAGCGTGCACGGCGTCCAACAGGAATTGCTCTGTCCCCATGTGCAGAGTGAGTCAGGGCTGCTTGGGAAAACATGGGCACAACGGAGCCTTTTCTCAGGCCGGACTCCTGATAATTGCGATGGTCGCAAGTCGAGGTCGCTTGCTGAATAATTCGATGCTGCAGAAACACAGCCAGCCAGTATTCCAGGAATCGGACGCAATTTCTCCACGCTTTGTTGCCCACAATGTAGCAACTTGGATGCAGAAGCAACCATGCGTACGAGCAGATGCGTGCATCGTGTCCGGATACAGCCAGCCAGTTTGAAGGCAGTTCTAGACATGCCAGCCGTGCGGAGATGCACGGGACACCGAGCAGGCCAGTTCTCCGCTCCTTGAAACGTTTCCGTGGGCGAGCTGGCAGCTCAGGGCTCGAAGGGACTTTCTCCTCCCTCCTCGCCCTGCCTCTGTGTCAGAGGCAGAGCCCTCAGAGCCGCCTTTTCCGCCTGGTGCCGGCTGCGGCAGCCCGCAGGTGACCGCCTCGTGGTCGGAGACGGAGCGCAAGGCTCTGGAGCTCCTGGAGGACGGGCTTTGAGCTTCGACCATTGACTTTGCTGATGCCGCGTGCACCAGGAGAAGCAGCCGGCCACGAGCTCAGTGCTGCGGCCGCTGAGCTGATGCTTGATCCTGCCTTGGTTTTCCAAGGGGAAAATCCAAGAAAACAAGGGTTAGGAGGGCCAACCGCCTGTTGCCTGTTGCATGCATCTATCTGTGAATCTTGTGTGTAGGAAAACACCAGATCGCATCTGCTGCTGTCGGAGTATGTGGTTTCTGGTTGGATAGCCCGGTTTGGGCTGTTTCCACGCCTCAAGACACATGTCATAGAACTCTTCGCTCCCCCCCCTTAGGCCCCCCCTTATCATACAAGCCCTGCTTTGAGTAGCTTTCCTTATAAGTGCTTTAACAAGCCCTTGTTAAAGCCTCAATAAGGCTCTATTTGGGTTTTCGGAGACAAGCCTTATTAGACCCTTAATAAGGGCAAAGTAAGACTTTCCAGGACGAAGCTGACAGAGCTTCTTACATAGGGCTGGGCCGGGCGGGGTTGGGGTGGGCAAAGGGCCGGCGTCGGGCGCGGGTGGGGGAGGGCGGGGTGGGGCCTGGGCGGTTGGCACGGCGCTTATTAAGGGCTTATTCCGGGCTTGTTTCGCGGCTGACTCTGGGAAATCGGTGTGTAGTTGGGGATAAGGGCTTATTCCGGGCTTATTTCGGGCTTATTTCGGGCTTGTTTCGCGGCTGACTCTGGGAAATCGGTGTGTAGTTGGGGATAAGGGCTTATTCCGGGCTTATTTCGGGCTTATTCCGGGCTTATTTCGAGGCTGACTCTGGGAAATCGGTGTGGAGTTGGGGATAAGGGCTTATTCCGGGCTTATTCCGGGCTTATTTCGAGGCTGACTCTGGGAAATCGGGCTTATTTCGGGCTTTTTCCGGGCTTATTTCGTGGCTGACTTTGGAAAATCGGTGTGTAGTTGGGGATGAAGGCTTATTCCGGGCTTATTTCGGGCTTATTTCGCGCTCATTTTGGGCTTGATTCGGGCTTACTTAAAACATGTGGCTTTGTTTGTTGCGCTGTGGGTCGAATCCAAAGCAGAGCTGCAACGTTTGTTTGAGTGTGCTAGATTGGAAACTCACGCCAGTCTTTCTGTTGCATTGCCTTGCTGCTCGGTGGGAGCACCAGGGCTTATATGTTAAGGGGGGGGGCCTAAGGGGGGGGGGGGCAAAGACTTCCATGAACATGCAGCAAACCGGGTTTAGAGCCAACTTCGGTGTCCGGAAGCTTCGGCTGTGAAGGCCTTTCCCGTTGATACATGTAGCTTCTCACGTCGAGGCCTGGCGACGGAGCTACCTCGGACCCAAGACGGAGGTGGCTTAGGCAATGGCCTCTTGGGCGCCTTCGCTAGGAGCGCTCAGTCCCGAGGAGGACGTGCAGGAGACCTTCCGCGCCATCGCGGCCGCTGCTGGCGGTGAGGAGGGGCCGAAGTTGCCCGTCTGCGTGTCTTCGCACAGACAGCCTCGAGGAGCAAGGCCTCAAAGCCGTGGAGCGAAATCTCGCACTGATGGTCTTTTTGCCCAAGCAGATTGCCGCCTCTGCAGAGGTCCCTCTTCGCGCCAAGAGCCGCCTCTTGGCTTCTGGCTGCTCTGGCTCTCACGCAGGCCTTGTCTGCTGAATTGGGCCCGGACGTCGCCAAGGATGTGGCAAGCTAAGCACCGCAGCGTATCATAGCACTTGTCCGGAGAGATCCATCGACATCAAAGGGGAGCCGTAGGTACGCTCTCGTCATGTCTCGTCCGCCGAGAGCTTTCCCCTCCAAGGTCATTTCAAAGAACCCTGGGGTTTTGACTGTGCCTCCGGCGAGCATCAAAGAGAATGTTGGGCCGCTCGGTCATGTTTGCATCGTGTGTCGGCTACCGAGCAGACTGGTGAAATCTGCCAGGGCAATTGTTCCGCTGGCCAACGTGGTTGGCTTCTTCGGGGACAATCCTCTTATTGCCAGGGTCCTTTTATCCCAGAAGCATGCATGGAGACACGGGCCATACTTGCTTGAACTAGGCCCAGGGACTCTTCGCCGTCCTTGGAGCGGCTCTTATCTACGCCGTCGTCGTGGCCACTTGCCCAAAGCAGGAACCTGGTGTCGAACAGAAGTTGGCTAGTTGTGCTCAAGGTAGGCGTGATCAACCCCCTGATCAAGGCGGTGCAGTTGATGCAGTTGATGTTAGATACCGCTGGGGTCACCGGTGTGCCACGCAGGCTTATCCCGGCAATCAACCATGAGCTGTGGCGCACCACGGCAATTTAAGAAGGGTTTGTGAGAGGCCAGCGAAGTGGCCACAACAAGTGGCCACTTCGCGATCCGCTCGAGGCAAAGCGGCAAGGCCACGGGGCACGCGGCTCGATGAGTCCAAGTGCCAAGCGGGACTTTAACCCTGACATCCAGGAACTAGGGCCTTCCGGTATATTTGGAGATGTTTTAGTTCCGCTGTTCAGAGGCTTGCACCCATGTTGCCGGCAATGGATTTCACAGTTCTACGGCAGTGCAAGGGCACCCTCACATGAGAGCGAAAAGATTGCAAGCAGCAAGGGTCCGACCCGAAGAGCCTTCAGCTCGTTTCCAACGTGACAGGTGCAATTCTCAGACTTCATCTGGGGGCTCCGGTGAACGTTCCAAAGTTGTCCACTCAGCCGGTGGTTTCGACAAACTGCATCCATTTCGAAGCCAACGTGGCAGTGTCCAGGTTTCGATCCTTGGGGCCGCAAGACGACGATCCCGCGGAGACCTCGAAAGTCTTCGGAGGAAGCTGACGGATCCTCTTGGTGAGAGCAGGTGCTTCTAGATGCCTCTCACAACAAGGCCCAGATCTGCGTAAGCCTCGCCTTTGCTCTTCACCCTGCTTGATCCTGGCGGCAGGCTTCAGAGCGAAGTGCTGAGCTGAGGTGCCTTCCCTCTTTGAGCAGCATGTGTCGGTTCATACTTCAGACGAGGGTTAACAGATGACTTCTCTTGCAGGAAGAGGCTGTCGTCCACCTGATTTTCGCATGTCGGTTCGCTTGCAAAAATGGCAGATGACCACTGCCGGAATAAGTCTGGCGGCTGTTTCTGCACATTAGCGGTTGTCTGTTCACACCATGCTCTGCCTTCACTCGCAGACTGTCATTATGAGTGAAACTTGTTTGGTGCTTCTTCGGTTGGTCAGCTTCAGCAGTAGCCACCGACGTGAACTCTGCACCCTGATGAGACGATCTTACGGAAGGACCTGCTTTGTCCGAAGTGTTCCTCTGGGGTATTTAGTTTGTACCAAGCGCGACCCCCACTTTCCATGGCATGGTTTCGCTCAATGACCTGGACCTGCAGATCGAAGCCCTGGAGGAGCGACCCTTAAACGACCCTTAGACCGCTCGTGCTGTTTTGTCGCCTTCTTTGGGTTTTGCTGGTGACTCACACGAGGACTCAGACGAGGACTCGGAGTCGGAGGAGTCAGAGAAGCCCAGTCCCGCCAAGACCGTCCCTTCAAAGGTCCTCGCTGAGTAGCGCAGCAGACCAACTGAAGCCAGAGCTGCTGCCAGAAGAGACGTGCTGCAGCAACGACGCCAGCGTCGAACCCTTGCTCTTGCTGTTCACGTCACGGTCATCGAATCAACAGGCTTCTTTCCCTTGACTCCGAAGCCGTGCCTGAGCCTAGGCCCAAAGCGCCGAAGGTGCCCAAGGTGCCAAAGGAGCCCCAAGTGCCGAAAGCGAGCGACGAACCCGAGTCAGGCACTTTTCTTGCGACACTGTCAGCATTCTTGGGTCAAGTCTCGGAGAGTTGAGAGGTGCAACAGGTGAGGAGCACAAAAAGCGAAGGAAGGACCCAAGTGGCTGCAGCTACAAGTAGGATACAATCGCATGGGCGTTATCGCAAAACGTGGCAGCATGCTTCTGAGCATCTGCAGATATCTGCCGCCGTTCCGCTTTAATTCAGACTGGACACCGAGCATCATTGTTTTATGACGTCTTGAGGGCTGATTTGTCCAACATGAGTAACCTTGCCCTGACATTTTTCGATTTCGCCAAGCCCCTCGAAGAACAGCTCGAAGTGCACAGTGGCACTGATATGGATTGACACTTGCGGATCACTTGCTCACAACCAGTCTAAGAACTGAACACCGCTGGTAGTCATGCAGCATGTCGGCGCCGCCGTCTGAGATGACCAGCTATGGAGGCAGCGCGAGGCTACAGCTTTCCCAGATTTGAGTTGCAGCAGACTCTACAGGATCGGCGTGTCACACCAGATGATGGTGCCGTGGCAGCACAGATTCCGTGCGCGGACTATCATGTTAGCATGCTGATCGAAGGCTGCCCTCGCAGTTGCAAGGACAGGAAGAAAGTGTAGAAGCCAGCCTTGGCTTCGCCCCGGAGAAGTCCAGGCCAAGGTGGAGATCCGTCGGCCAATCAGAGCTGACGGAAGCTGATGTCTTCGAGGAGGCAGTGTGTCAAAGCTTTTGTCTGAGACCATCGCATGGGAGCCTGGCTCGAGGAGCGCGAATGGCTGCAAGCTCGCTCTCAGCGCCTCTCTGCTGCGCGGAGACGGATCGAAGTCAGCGGCTCAGGAATTTTAGCAGATCACAGTCCTCTTGCTTGCAGCAGTGCGCCGCCAATGGCTCATGGAAGTTTGAAAGCTGCGTAAACTTCACTGCTCCGCAAATGTGGGCAGAGCAGATTTCACACACGACGAATTTCGAGATCAAGTGTTTTCGGCTTTGGCACCCAAAAGATCAGAACGAAGTCATGAGCAGAAATGCGACAGGAGCTTGAACTCCAAGCTGAGAGAGTGCAGGTGCGCGGTTGCAGGATACCTGCCTCAGCGGAAGGTGTTCGAGGTCTCTGAGGAGAGACCCGGCCTTTACGGCACCACCTTCCTGAAACTCGACAGCAGCAGGCGGAGAGGGTGGCACGAGCAAGCCAGCACGCAAAGCAGCAGGGACGGAAAGACGATGAGGATTGGTCTTGGAGCAGGAGTTCCGACTCCCAAAAAGGTGGATGAAGGACTTGACCGGCGTTGGTCTTGTGGAGAGTCTTGCTGCAGAATGCGCCAGATTGAAAACCGCGGAGCAGATTGCACCAAGTCGATTCTGAGCTGTTTGAGAAACGGCGTTGCAGTCCAGCACGCCCACCTTTTCATCGGCGTTTGACACTTCTTGCTAGTCGGGCAGACTCGTTTTCCAAAACGAAAGCACAGCGACGAGCGGAAACTGGAGCATCCGAATCCGAAGATGTGGGGTGGGGAACGCAATTGGGACTTGACAAGGCAGCCATTGCCTCGGCTGCCGACGAAGTCAAGCCTGAATCCTTCTCGATTGCCCTTTCCGGCAGGGGCCTCGATGGGCCTGGTGCGATAAGCCATGTTGCTTTTTTTTGCACGGCTTTTTAGGTGGGGGCATCCGCGCTGCTGCATTTCAGGACAGCAGTCATCTCTTGAGCAATGGCTCGTCCCAGCCCAGAGCCAATTCCAGCATCAGGCTGGCGTGCTTTGGCGGCTTGCACAAGCTGGACAGCTGCAGGAGAAGACTGCCTCTTCCTTCCGGTTCAAGGTCTCCTCGGTCTCCTCTGTCCTGCGAGGACGCGGAGTACCTGGCGGCTGTCTCTGGGGGCGGTTACCTGGCCTCAAGCTTCGCTTCCCACTTGGCCGCAGCGGATTCGCCCGGGCCCTGTCGACTTGCTCTGCTTGCTCCTTTTTGCTTCTTTTGGCTCCTGGTTTGTCGGGGTGTTGTTGAGGCAGCCTCAAAGTGGCGCCACTCGGAAGGAGGCCTGAGGAGATTGAGGAGACTGGGCCACAGCTCGCCGGCTTTCTACGTCTTGGTGCAGGTTGCGGACTTCTACCTCGATGTGCTTGTGCAGTTCTAAGTTTTCTACGTCTTAAGTCTTGCGTCTTGCTTTTTCATGTTTCCAAAGGTTGATGAGAACCGGCCAAGGCGAAGACGTTCTGTCGGATGCAACAGAACGCTGGTGGATTTCTGCGTGATCCCACAGTATGACACTGAGTTCTGTTGCGCGACGGTTGCACCGTTGGGGTGGATACAGATGATGCTTGTGCACTTGCCTCAGGCAGGACCAAAAGGGGAGAGGAGCTGGAGGATTGCTTTTCGACTGCCGAGGGACGGCTCAGGCATGCTTCCCCGTACCCCGGCCATGCAGGAACTCTCAAATTCAATTATCTGAAGCAAGAAGCCTTGGCGTTTGCGGAAGCTCGACCCCGAGCTCTGAGGCATCTTCGACGGCGTGCTCCTGCTTCTGACGCTGGCCACCACTCTGGCCCTGAATCCCTTGCAGATCACCGTGGTGTGGCTCGTGGCTCTTCTGCAAACCATCGAGATGCGGAAGTGCTGGTGGTGCTTTGTCGAAACGAACACAGGTGCCCTTTACAGAAGCACTGAACGTCTTCTATGGCACAGCCCTTCGCATAGCCTTCTGCGCGCAGGGCTCCTCGCCTGAGAACTTTCAGAAGTTTCCTTTCGATTTGGATACCTCAGCCCCTCAGGCTGAGGCTGCCTTTGACCAAGGTCTGCCGCATTGGCAGATTCTCTGGGATTGGTCTCCCTACGGGACCTTCCTTCGCTTCTTCGAGGCTCTGAGCCGAGCTCTGAATTCTGGGGGCTGCTGGGCTGCTGGGGCATCCGCGACACGCGACAGCCGCGACATTCGCGACAGCCGCGACAGTTGACGGCTGGGGTGAACTTCGCCTTCTGGCTCCTCTCGAGGCCGGGCCTCGGCCTTTCAGCCAAGTCTAAGTGGCGCTTCCTGGCTCTGCTCATCTGCTTTCAGCAGGTTTGCGAAGCGAGCAAAGGGCTCATCGGCATCACCCAGGCTTGGCACGGGTTTCTGCCCGGCAGTGGGAGGCTCCTTTGTGTCGGTGCAATGATTTACTTGTTGAAGGTGCTACCTCTTCGTGAACGGCTGTCTTGCTTGTGCTGCCCGGTTCCTTGGAGTTGCGCCCTTAGTCGCAGAAAGGTGCAAGTCGCTAATCCTTAACTCGCGGATCGCCAGCGACCTCGATAATTAGACCCGGAGCCAGGTGATGCTTCTGCTGCTGGTGATGATCTTTGCACTGCCTTATGTGGAGGACGCTCTTCCAGCACAGTGTTTGCTGTTGCAATCGACCAGCTGTCAATCCAAGCACTCGCGCTGACCTGCTCGCCACGGTGTCTAACAGCCTTTGAAGATTCATGAGTTCGATTTGAGCTAGTGGCAACAAGTTTGTTGTTTCCGTGAGCAGGACTGGTCGGTTCCGGAATCCGGGGGCCTGACTTTGCCGCAGAGGCGATGCAGAGAAGACAGTGCTGAAACCATGACCAGGCCTCCTGCATTCATTCGACGTGTGCTGCAGTGGCTGACAGGTCTGGCACATGCGAGGAGCACTTCAGGCAAAGGAGTCAGACATGCTTTGGGTATTTGCTTCGCTGCGATCAACTGCTCGCACCGTCGAAACGAGGGCAGCGAGTCCATTGACGAGTGGCTGCGAGAATGCAGATGTCTTCGCCGAAGCGGGACGCTCTGTCGATGAGGACCTGACAAGACCTGACCAGCACGCAGAGTCAGAAGTTCGAGACACGGTGTCGAAAGACCTCGATCCCTGAGTCGCGCAGTACATTCGGTTCAACGCCAGCGCGGTGCAAAGAGGCATCACTCCAGAGGCCCGTGCAGAGTATTCGACGCACCGCAGGAGTGTCCCTGTTATGATTTCAGGTGCAAGCCGTTGCGCTTCCGGAATCCTCCACGGCCGTTGCTGGCCCCGATGTGGCAGTCTTCCTGGTTTTTCGCGAGCTTCTTTTGAAGGGTGACCGTTCCGTGCTGATCACCTTCTTCGGCATCCTGGTGTTCCTGCTGACTGTCACGGCTCCTCGACCATGTGAACTCGGACTGTGCAGCTCTGGGTCCCTAATGCACCAACAGCTGAGGTGCTTTTTGCACCCTTCCTGCCTGGCCTATTCATCTCCGTGTCTCTGCGAAACTTCTTCAGCACTGCTTGATGCTGGGACTTGTCAGAAACCATGTAAGGTGGTGACGATCACTGGCCCTTTGCTTGGTCTGACGATGATTATGCTGATGCTCCAGTACAGAATCTATGGACCCCTAACAGGCACAGGGCCAGGGGCGAAAGCATTGTCCACGGGGCTTCCATAGGGTAGCACTGTGGAAGCGCCTGCGATCGTTGGCACATGCTCTCTACTTGGCCTCGGCAGGTCAGGCTCTGATGTTTGGGCAGCTACCCTTCTCCGAAGTGAAGTGGCGAATGTTCGATGGTGCCTCAGTGTAGTAGGTCCGGGCGTCCAGGGCTGAAAGGTGCAGAAGACGAATGTACCTCCAAGGTTCGCATGTGTTTAATGGCTGGCATCGTCGTTGTGCCGTTCCACAACGAGCTTCGGAGACTTTGGCATTGGTCGCCCAGCTCTGTTCGGCGGTAGCAGTGTGAAATTCAGGCAAGCCGAAAGTCGTAGAGCACGGCATCATCTTTACTCTTATCATGCCCGCCGTCGCTCCGTTAGGTACTACTTACGCACCCTGCAGCGCAACTTTTTTCATGGTGGTAAGGCTGCATCCATGGTTGCTGTACATGCCGTCATAGTCCGGTCAGCTTGCGTGATCACGTAAGCATCTGGGCAGGACATGCCGTTCTCCAAGCTGGCAGAGCAGCCGCTCTGTCCACTTCTGATCCTTACAGGCCCCGACACCCCCAAGAGAACCCGACAGCATTCTCGGCCTGACATCTCACCGTGTCTCACTGCAAGGCACGGTGACAGACTACAGGCGGCTCGGCAAGCAGACATGGCCGCGACTTCTCCTAGACCGGACCCAAACGATCGCGGAGATTTCGTTCACTGCGCTGCATACTGGAAGCACCGCTACAGGCGGGTTTCGCTTGAGGGTGTCGTATTGATGTGTGCTTCGCCGTGGTAGCTCAGCCTTCTGCAATACAACAACTCTTGTCACAACCCTCCATGGTTGTGTGCAGGCTTCATCAGGACGACCTACTTTCGGACGCTGGCCAAATGTACAGCCTTGACAGGGGCAGGCCGTCTCCTGCATTTTGCATGTTCCGACCAGTCAGTGGGTAGCCTTCCCAACAGCCTCTGCTTGTTTCCGTTATCATGGTTTCCCGCGGTGTCAAAGCCGGCCATGAATCCTTTTTAGCATGCAGGCTCGCTCGTTCATCCAAGATTAAAGTTAAGATTTCCAGGACCATGTGCGTGAATGCTTTCCTAGGTTTGGTTTTCTTTGAGCATGAAATAGCAAGGCGTTCAGGCGACACTCTTGCTCTAGACTCTTGCGGCCATAGGGGCCATTGTCTCTCGACTGCTCCTTTCCAGCTCGAAAATGATTTTGAACTTCACGTCCCCGAAGCTGTCGTGTTGTGGCCCCTGGTCGTCTTGGGAGTGCTGAGTGCAGATCCGCTCGAGGCTGCCTGGACGCTTTGAGCCTGAGTATGTCGAATCGCGCCTCGGAGCATTGAGGGCCACCTGCCACCTGTGGGCACAACTGCAACCTGCGACGGTGGTTTCCGGCCTAAGGATTACGCTTCCGGTTTTGGCTGGAAATCCTCAACCTCAGCTGGGGTGACTACATCTTCTTCAGCAGGCTCCCCGTTCTGGAAACGAAGACTTGACACCATTTCCGGGGCTTGAGTTTTTTTGCATCTGCATGTACTTGAGCAATTACTGTACTGGGAGCAGGCGAGGTGCGAACAGGTACGTCGAGCGTTTGGCCAACGTGCTGCAGACGGAGGCCGTTTGCACTTTCTCAGGCTCGCATGGAATGGTTTGCGCTTGCACGCCGGTATGCAGGCTGGTCGGAAATTCCGGTGGATTGCACAGCAGCCGACTGCTCAGCTTTCGAAGTGATGCAATCCATCTCGTCATTTCGAGTTGGCATGTCCGGTCCCGGTTCGAGGTTTCCGGCCCTCTTCATTTGGGCCAGTACTCAGGCCGCCCCCGTCACTTGTTCACTACTTGGTACTGCACGCAGCCTCGTTCAGCCGAGGTGCTGCTTACTGTCGGCTGGACCAGGATGTACCAGCCGGAGAACACACTGGAGGCTGTGCTGTGCTGGTGGGATTGAGTGTAGCAGTTGCTTGCGACCTTGTGGCATCGAGGCGGGTTTGGTGGACTAGAATCTTAGGTGGAGCAGCTGCGGCCGATGCCTATTAGTCTATGAGTGAGGTTTCTCTGGGGTAGGTCGAGGTGTTCCAGAGGTCTTCGCTGCAGTGACGGCTAACTGCACCTCTTGCCTCTTCAGATGTCTCCTCCCCAGACCCCCTCCCCCGTTCCACTACATGCAAGGAACCAGCCGAAACAGCTCTGCTTTGCTTGACTGACAAACCACCAGCAAGCAGAGAATCACTGCAAACGCATCGCGGTCATGCAGAAGAGCGAGACCTCGAAATCAACTAACGATAGGCACCAACCTGCAGACGTAGAAAGGATTGCAGCGTGGCAAAGTCGCTGGTGCTTGCCTCAATCGGTCTCTGCATCAGCTTGATCGCTCTCAGTTGCTTGGCAGGAACTGGTTTGGAGGGGAGGGCCTCTAAGAGAATAGCTTTGGTCCAACAAGGTTGTGATGTTGAAGTTTGTCATAGAGCAAGACAAAGTAAACATCTCATGAAAGTCATGCTGTGTTGTTTCTATTCGTGTGGCCTTCATGTCTTTGTGCTGTGCCTGCTGTTCAGAGAAGAGATATCAGCCATAGCAGTTTCGAGGCAGGCTTCCCAACACTTGCTGATGGAACCAACAGCCCGAACCTTGTCAGCGACTGCATTCTGAGGCTTTTTCGCCTTCTTGCCCGGTCTTCACTGCCTCATGGTGTCGCCGATCATCCGCCAGTTCCATCAGGCCTGCAGTGGCGCACAAAGGTCGGCTGGTTCGCAAACGTGCTTAAAGGCTACTCGGTTCATCTATCGGGGTGAGCGCGCCCCACGGCTGGTCTACGTGACGGATGGTGGTGTGCAGGACCATGTGCATGGAGTGCACGACACTGGAGCATAAGTGCAGTTGCAAGGAAGCATTGGTACTGCCAGGACTGTACAGCGATTGTCCAGCTCATGCGCCGCCGCCGTAAAAGGATCCTTCTGGTGCCTGGCTCTTCCCTTCTCGTGGAGCGCAGCATCATTCGTGATAGCAGCCTGCGTCAGGTGCTTGCTGCCGCCGATCCGCACGACGAGCTGGAAGTGCTCTGGAGCGCGATGTGTTGTGCCATCGATCAGCAGGCTGCCCGCGATTCTGCGATGCTGTGGATTCCTGTTTTTCCGCCTCGGCCCGGCCTTTGGCACCGCAGGTCGGGACCTTCTTCGATCCCTCTGGAAGCTACCGCGACGTCCGCGCGGTGATGCAGGCGGCGACTAGTTCAAGTGCCCAGCAACGTACGCGTTTGTGACACGTCTCTGGAGTTCTGGCAGCTGACAGGAGTTCGGGGACCGGAAGGCACGGCAAGGGCGTCCCGGGGCTGCGGTGCCGCTGCGGTGCTCGGCAGGAGATGGCCTTCTTGCGCCTTGGCATTCGCTACGGTGGCTGGTCACGCACGAAGGAGGCGAGTGCGAAGTGCAGAAGTGCCGCTGTGCTCTGCAGCACACGCAAGTCGCCTCTTCCAGCAGGAAACTCCTACTTTGTCGTTGCTGGGGGAGCTGCTTGTGGTGAAGAATCGGATGCCTCCCTGTCTTCGAGGGATGCAGGCAAGAGTCTGGGCAGCTTGGGGCACGTGGTGTGACATGCGGCCCACGCCATGGGGAGGCTGGCTCTTTGTTGACGGAGGCAGAGGCCGGCCCTGGCAGTCTCCGGAGGCGTTGAGGCCATGGATTGCGGAGCAGGTCAAGTCAGGGAGACCGAGCTCGGGCAGGACTTCGGGCTGCAGGCCACCCTTTGCCTGTCCAGCATGTACATAGTGACGTACTGGTAGTGATTGAGTTGAAGACGAGGCAAGCCCTGGAAGCCGAAGACCTCGGTGGTTTTTGCTGCTGCGACTGCTGCCATGGCATTGGATGCAGCTCGGCAAAACGACAGCCTTTGCTTGTGCCTGGCGCAAGGCGGGTTGGGTCACTTCTTCTCTCGGTCGCGCGCGCGCGCGCTCACGGTTTCCGAGGCAACTGCGGGCCAAAGTTCCCGCATCTTTCTGGAGCCAACTACTTATGGCTCACACCGCCAGCGGCCAAGTGCATTTGGCTTGTGCTGATGTGTGAGGCTGTGCTCTGCTGTAGCCTTGTAGGACTAACGTGAGTGGCTGTGAGGGCTCACATGTTGGCTGTTTTCGTGGCATTTGTGGTGCGCAACCTATGTCCGTGAGTGTCCGTAAGTGGCTGTGAGGGCTCACATGCTGTTTTGGAGGTGACATCTCAGTTCACTCTGAAAAGGCTCTGCTTGCCTCCAAGGATTCTGTTTGCCAACTTATGCCGGCTCGGATACGAGGCCGATCTTCCAGCACAGTTGGAGATGCGTTCGTGCAGTTGGGAAGCCTCTCTCCGCTGCTGTTTTCAGCTACAGATGCGGATCGAAGCTTCGCAGGGTAAGCCAAGGGAAAGCATGACTTTGCATGCGAGGGCCTCTCGCTCGAGATCTCGAGAGAAGACATGCCGCTCGTTGGGTGAAGTTGTCCTTTGCACGCAGACGTGCACAATTTCGACGACTTTGGGAGATGCCTGCGATCAGCTTATCGCGTCCGGTCATACAGGAACCCTCGTGATGCACGAGGGGGAAGTCCTGGGAGTTATCACGGAGAATGACATCCTGGCCGCCCTGATGGATGGCATTGACCGTGACATTCAACTCGATTTGTGGTTGCGTGGAGGACAAGCCCGACTCCCAGGATGCATGGTGAACGCTTTGACCATGACCCCGGCAATGAGCCTTTTAAAAGCTGCCGAAAGAATGGCTTGCCAAGCGGAGAAGGACTCGGGCTACGCCTGCCATCACCTGCTCGTCTCCAACGGTTCGCAACCTCACTTGGCGTCAGATCTTGATGTGGTAGCTTTGTCTGCACTTTCCAGCTAGCCTCAGCTTCTCAGTTTGTGCGCCATTTGCCGAACGAAGGCCAAAAGCTTGATCAGCAACCTGCCCAAGAGGAGCAGGGATGCCGTGTTCGTGGAAGTCAAGGAGGCCTTTCAGTAAGCCCTTCTTTGCGTTTGTCTCAAGTGCTCGCTCCCCAACAGCACTTTCAACGTTTGTTTCTGACTCGTGCAGGCAATGAAGCCACGTGCAAACGTCGCAACCTGCCGTCTCGGCGACAAACTCATAGACGCGTACCGTATCATGTACGAGTCCAGGCAGAATTGTGTATTGGTGGTGGAAGGACTCGGCGACGTCGAAGGAGAGAATGTCCTCAATCCTGAGGACGAGGGCAGCCATATTCATGGTGTCATCACGATTTCAGATGCGATGCGAACTTTCTCAGAGTGCCAAACCGGTGACAACATACGAGTGCAAGGCTTTCTGAATGGTTTGACTGCAGCTGAACACTTCACAGCTCCCGGAAGAAGCATCCTGGAATCACAGTCCCTTTTGGAAGCTGCAGAGCTCATGAGCGAACTCGGCGTCCATCATTTGGTGGTCCTCAGCGCGAGACATGACCAGAAAGAGATTGTAGGCGTTCTTTCCGCGCTGGACATCATCTGTGCCGTGAGTTCACCGAGCTGGCTTCATGGAACAGACGGCGGCGCTTGAGAGACGGAGAGTCTCGCAGGGCCTTCGCATCAATAGCTCTAGCCGTGAGTACTCTCTCTCCCTCTCTCTTTCTCTCGGCTCAGACTGGCGAGGAATTCTCGGAGTGCCACGGATGTGTATACAGAGAGTAGCAATTGTACAGATTGTCCAGTTTCCCCAAAACCTGACTGGCTTGCGGTGCAGGGCCACAATGTAGTCCTTTTAATTCGGGCTCCTATGCAGCAAGCGCATCCTGAGCATACTTACAGAAGTTGCTCTTCCGTTTCAAGTCCCTGGGCTTTGATATCTGGGGAGAACACAGAACTTTGAGAACAACTCCCAAAGCAGCGAGAACAAGCGACACCAAAGAGCTGCGCATGTTTAGCGAGTTTGTGAGCCTGGAGGTGTTTTGAATTCCCTTCTCCATGAGCTCTGCTGTGCCACCAGGCCTCTGAAGAGGTGGTTGCTGCACTGGAAGCAGGGCCTCGCATGCTGGCCGGTTCTGTGCACCTTGGGCGCAGTGAGTCCGATATGTACAAACCTCTGATCGCTCTGCTCGGCTGTTGCAAGGTGCTTCCAACAGGAAAGTCCCCAAAGCAGCTCCGCTGAGTTTATGTCGTTGGTGCGGCAAATCTTGAGATGCTTGTGTTCTAAGGTGGTCGGAAGTTCACGAAAGAGTGTTCTGAGTCCTCAACATCTGCACCCATTGCTTTGTAGGCACAGGGCAGGGCCAACAGCGTTTCGAGTGTGCCAGCCAGCTCTGGACGGCACTTTGTTTGGCTCATGTCAGTTAATGCACGACCTGTACCCCGAAGGGGGCATTGCCAGAGTGTTTGTGAACTGTACTGCACATTCAACATCCCGGATGTTTACATTCACTCTTGTGGCGCCCGTGTGGGAAAGCTGTACAGCCCACGACTTGACAAAATACTTTTTGCGGTGTAGTATTTGCGGCCAAGAGTGCGCGCAAGACCTCACACCACCCTGCCTAGCACGTAGGGAAGCTGTTGCATTTGATCCAGTGATTCCAACAAGAGGCTGCTTTCGGACGGTCATGAAGCCACGCAAGGCGTAAGCCAGAGAATCCAGCTCAATATTCCGAACATAATATGAAGTCTTCAGGACAGGGCGTCTCGAAACGCTGTGTGCTTTCGCTACTTCGAGGGCGCTTGCCACTTCGAGGCGAGCCTGAAAGACTCGCATGCCAAGTTGAATCCAATTGAGTGCTCCTGCGACAGGATTGTAAGTTTCTGCACGTTAGCCCACAGAAGTTGACGAACGAGGAGCGTGCGCAGGCGGCAGGACGGGGATGGTCGTGGTAGGTCTCCGGTAGTTATAAGTTTTAAGTGTCATCGGTGTCAACCCAGAAAAGGTTGCTGGTCCTTCGAGTCACTTTCCGTGTCAAGTCCTTGCTTGTTGTAGTTGAAAGCCACTGAATGTGCGCGCACCCGAACAACTTAGACAAAAACTGTTGACCTCCAGAGCCAGTGGTTCACAGCGTGCACATTGCACCTTGGGCACATCGAGCCAGCGGGAGATGGTCAAGATTCTGTTGGCACTTTGGCAAACAAGGCTAGGAAGGTGCATCATTATGAATATCACTCGCGTCTTGCTTCACCATGGTGGTAGGATTGTCTAGGATTCTCTAGTTTAGTTCAAGTGTTTTCAGCACGTTTGAGTTCCCTACGGGACAGTGATGCAGCTGCTCCAGCTGCAGGTGTTGCGCGAGCTTCCTCTCCGAAAGTTCAGCCAGAGCTTGGTCTGCATGGCATCATTATTTTTTTCTGTCTTCAACTGCGAACGGACTGCGATGCCTTGTCAAGTTCTAAGGTGTCACTATAAGAGCTGTGAGCATGACCGTGTAAAGTGCAAGAGAAGGGGGCACGCTACGCGTCCCTCGACTCTAAGGGGGCACGCTACGCGTCCCTCGTCTTTACCTTTCTATGTGACCGCCCACGCAACGTTTGGCTCAAGTCAATGCCCATAGCTAAGTGCTATAAGTGTCTTCTATCCTGAGCAATCAGAGCTATCCCGTTGCACAGACGAACCGCCGCCGGCAGTGAGTGCAAAAGGAACGGCCGCCGGTTCTGCCTGCATAGGATTGCACGTGTGGAAGTGTGAGAGAGACAGGGTCCAGTCTGTGGAGAGTGCAAGCCAGCCACACCTACATTCATTACAGCTCTGGTGGGGAGAGCAGCAACCTAGTCGAGATCAATCCCCCACGCAGGTTATCAGCCGTACGCGGCTCTGCCTTTCTACAGCAACGACTACTTGATCTACTACGACCACAATGAACTCGGGATCAAGCCAAGATACGACAATGACTTTCGGTGCCGATGTGGCAGCGCCAGCCGTTGGTGAGTCAACAGCTGATGACACAGTGGTGCAATCCGTTGATAGCTCCACGGAAGATGACAAAGGTCAATCTTCTGCGCTTGCCATTGCAAAGGCAGTTCCCAAGGTGAAAGCAAAGAGTCTACCAAGAGCATCTACGCCTTCGCGTCCGACATCCACAGGTTCGAGGACGGGCAAGGCTCCAGAACGACGAGCCGAAGCGTCTGGTTTTCAGGCACCTCGGACTACGTCCAGGGCCAAGGACAAAGGAGTGAAGACCTTGGAAAAGAAGTCAAGACCATCATCTTCGAGAAGCTCTTCAGCACGATCGAGGACTTCGGCTACTCGTGGGCGTGACAAATCCATGACTTGGAATCGGATGGTTACCAATCAACCACGCGATGCTGACGATCTGGATATGACTCTGGACACTATTCCAGCACGTGGTGATGCGTCATCGGTGACCACGCCAGCCATAGCCGATGGTCCGAATGCTTATCAGGAGCTGACGATTTCGCAACAGTTCGAAGCATCGAACCTTGCGCAGCAGATGTACTATCGCAGTCAGATGCAAGAGTACGAAGGAGTTGTCCAGACCCTGATGGACAAGATCAAGGAGATGCAACAAGAAGATGAAGGATCTGGAATTCGCATCGAAGAATTGGAACGACAACGTGACCATGCATGCTTAGCCATGAGGCACATCAACAATGTCAATCAGGAGATGAAGCGAGACTATGAAACAGCTTTGTTTCGCATGGATGAACAGAACTCTGCTCAACAACGTCAAGCACATGCCGTTGCCGAGGAGTTAGCTCAACAGCTACACGTGTTCCGCACGGAAGCAGCCACTAACTTTGTGCAGTTGGAGGCAAGAGCGCAAGGCGATGGTGAGCTTATGGCACGTGAGTATGAGCGTCTGACTCATGAACTTCATGAACATGCCAGAGAGAACTTGTTCCTCCGGTCGAACACAGCAAGTTCGGAACAAGCCTTACAAGCAATGCAGGAACGATTCCACTTGGTCAAGAATCAGGAGTTGCGGGCCATGAACGAGATCCAAGGGCTAGCTGGAAACAGCGCAGCCATTGATCAAGAACGACTTCGGCTTCGCGAACGTCTTGGTGAAGAGGAAGAGTACCGCAAAATGGCTGTGAGGAGGATGCAAGATGCAGAGGACCGACTTCATCAGAATGAAGATCATGCAAGGCGAGCATTGCCTACCTTGCACGACGAGCTGAGTGAACTCAGGAAAACACTCAAAGCACAAGAAGATCTTCAAGCGAGGACACGCAGCGAATTGGAGGCAGCGCGGAACTCCAACTATGGCGGAGCGACACGGCCTTCGAGTATGCCCATGTCTTCGAGGACTACTGAGTCTGGCTGGGAGCACGTAGGAAAGGAAGTAGTGCCTGCATTTTCCGTAGGAGGTGAGGTACGATCCCCTGAAATACGGTCCCCAAGTCAAGTTAGTCCAGTCGCCAAAGAGAAGTTCGCATTCTCGGAATCGGACAAGGACAAGAACCTTGTGATGGATGGAATTCCATTTACCGGTGGAAACTTCTTCACTGGCCGCAATTCAATGCCAATCGTGGCGGATGCAATGCCCGAGCACTACGTGCCAGGTATTAGCAGCCCAGCACTTGCGCGTTCCACGCCTAGTGCAGCCACTTTGTTCGGCATACCAAGCGGATTTCATGGGAAAAGTGATGCGGCAGCCGTGCGTGATCGACAGCTACGCGAACTCTTGGAGGATCGCGGGATGTTGGGATCGAAGTCCACAGCATCTGCCAGCTCCTCAAGACCTGTTGGTGTCGACGGCATTACCGCATCTACGAAGGGCAACGACCTCATTGGTCCCCCTGTTGCCTATGACGATTCCATCCATGAAGCAAGGAGACGTCAGATCGAGAAAGAGGTCGCGGAACGGTACGAAGAGAAGATTGCCGATCTGCGAAGCGAAGTACTCAAGGCCCAGAAAGCCGAACAGCGTCTCAGAGCTGATCGTGATGAGTGGAGATTATTCGCTGAAACGATTCAGGAAGATAACGGAGACGATGACGGTGACGAAGCTGGCGACGAGAACGAAGAGGGAGAGCATGATGAAGGAACCGGCACGGGGTATGACCCTCCAGATCCGCCTGATGATGACGATGATGACAAGAAAAGAGGCGGTGGAGGCAAACCTGAATCGGATCCTGGCTCTCATGCGCGTGATCCTGATGGAGACGCAGATCCTGAAGTCACGGAGGTAAGAATTTCCAGGAGGGAGGCCGACAAAGTGACCGTTCCTCCATGGCCTACTCTCACTCATCTCAACAACTGGCGATCCGTATGCACGGCGAATGTCTTAGGAGCATCAGCCGACCCAAATCATGAGGACTGGATGTTATGGCTGGCACCAGCATTCAACCCATTCCCTGATGTCGAAGCACTGAACGATTCAGGACACAAGAAGTTCAAGAGCGTAGACGTCAAATTGGGGATCGCCATGGTCGCAATGCTACGCGCTGGTGGTGACAAATCTGCTGATCTGTACCTGGAGGTGAACCGGAAGGCCAACGATTACATCAGCAGGCCCGAAGGGAAGATCATCAAAGGACGACAAATCATTGCGATGATGTATGAAAGTTTTCGAACGCATGATCGTCTCGACATGATCATCACTCTCGAGTATCTGGTGAAGC